ACGGCCGGGGGAGCCGGACCGGGCGGGGCCAGGGCCGTCTTGCTGGCCCCGAATAAATGTGTGCTGTTCGGGGCTAGGAAAGTAATATGCTGTGAAAACCTAAGACAGCCCAGAAAACGCCCTTTTCCTTCGGGAGAAGGGGAAGGCCGGGGAGAAGCCAAAGGGGCGGAGCGAGGGCAGCCCCGGTGGAGACCGGAGAAGGCGGGAGGAGGTCGCCCCCTGGCGGAGAGTTTGAAGGGGCTAGAGGGAGCTGGCCGCCCTGGGGCCTAGATATGAGGAAGGTGAGCTTTTATTTATTTTTTATATATAAAGAATTATTTTTATTTAATTTACTTATTTTAATTTAACCAGAAGGACACAGAGAGAGAGAAAGAAAGCGAGAAAGCAAGCCACCAGGTCTGGGACTCGAACCGTGGTCAGCCATGTGGGTGTCCAGCGCCCCAAACCACCACGCCACCTGCCGGCCCCAGTGAGCTTTTATTTTTATTTTTATTTTTATTTTTTGGATAGGGCAAGAGCACACCAGAGAAAGCATCCCCCAAGAGGTATGGCCACCGCGGTCCCTTCTCCACTCTCCTCCCAGGGTTTAGGGCGCACACACCTGCTCAGGTTGTGTTTTTAGCTGCCAGGTGGGCAGGCAGTCAAGCCCCTTAAGTCTGTCAGGTGGGACCCAGCCTTCCTAACTACGTCTCCGCTAGCTGGCCTGCAGGTGGACTTTAATACTGAGCATGCACCCTAATTATAAAAATATTCTCTGTTCAGTAAAGAACACTGGAAAGTTTATGACCAGGAAGAAACTTTGTTTCTGTCAGGGTGCTGGGAAGCTTGCCAAAGAGAGCCAGGGGGAAAGAAAAGGTGCAATCCTTTCTCCTCCAGCTCTCCCTCCTTTCCGGATTTTGGGCAGGAACACAGGCCCTGGTGTTTCTCAAGCTGCTGGATCTGAGACTGGAAGGACGCAGTCAGCCGTCGGGGGTCCAGTCACTTAACCACCAGGCCAAGAGACGGCCCTAAAGAAAAACTTTATTTTCTGGGACCAGAAGATTGCGTAATGGTTCCTGGACTCCCATGTATTTGCCCCAGGTTCGAGTCCCAGACCCAGCAGCTTAAAATTCACACTAGATGCTCAAGATACTGAGAGGAGAAGAGACTGGTGTGGCCATTGGGCAGGGTGATTTCTCACTTTCTGTCTCTCTGTTTGTCCCAGGAGCCCAAGCACTCTATAGCAAAAATCTCCTTCTTATAAACAGACAATAAAAAACTATTTTTACTTTATTTTTTAATTTGGCAGGAGGCTGGTACCGTTTACCAAGAAGGGAGGGGAAGGAAGCCGACACACACACCCCCCCATGGGGAATGGTCACACTGCAGTCCCATCTCCATTTCTCCATCCTGCAGGGTTCTGGGACTGGTTTGCACCCTAGTGGTTTTTCAAGCCACTAGGTCTGGAATTCAAACCACAAACTCGGCCATGAGGGATCTAGCTCCTTTAATCACCAAGCCATTGGGCCCGTCCAAGAACTTTCATTCCCCAGTTATCATACCACTTTCTCTTACAGATTCAAAAGGAAATGTGAGCTTTTTTTACTTTAAAAATTTTCATCTTTTTTTAGGTTTTTGCCATAGGATATGTGCACTCGCTGGACAGAGACAATGGGAGGGAAAATGAGAAATCATCCTCCCAGGGAGGATGGCCGTGCTGCAATCCCTTCTCCTCTGTTCTCTTGGGATTTGGGGCATTCTGGTCATATATATATATATATATATGACTATATGCTTTTTATAACCTGTTGTATGTTTGGGGGAGGTATTATTTTGTGAGCATTTCCCGGTGTTGATCAGTATTTTTCAAAGCCATTGCATTGGCCACTCATTGTTGCATGCCTAGGCAGCCATAATTATCCTACTACTCTTTGGTGGCCTTTGTGTGTGTGTGCTAAGAGCACTTTAACTTCTTGGTCCCCATTGCTGCATCTTCTCAGGTTCCTTTGCTAGCAAGATACATTACAGTGCTTGCTTGTTCAGTGTTTGTCTTTTATAAGGAAAACTGTCCTCACCGCTGGTCACCTCACTGAGTGGTGTAGATGGGCTATATCCTCTTAACCTCACCTGATTGGGCCACTGAAGGACACCTGTCCAAGGGCAGCCAATCATGAACCAGTTGAACACCTACCTCTTGCTGGCATACTTTGGAAAGATAATCTGGCCAATTAGATTACCCCCATGAATGTATGCACCACCAATAAACGAGCAGAATTCACCTTAATCTGGGGCCACATAGCAGACCACAATTCGAGTCCCGATCTTGGTGGCTTGCTTTCTCACTTTCCTCTCTTGACCACAATTCGAGTCCTGATCTTGGTAGCTTGGTTTCTCACTTTCCTTTCTCTCTCTCTGGTCAAATTTAAAAATAAAAATAAATTAATTTAAAAAAAAAAAAAAGAATTCATCTAGATCTGTTTGCTGTGCTAACTTTGACAAAGTAGCTCAAAGTGTAACATTAGGAACGTCCAGCTTCCACCGTGTGTTCTGTCGTTGCTGGATTCCATCCTGGTCATGCCCACTCCAGTGCCGAGGGTCCCGGCTGATCCCTAGTTAACCCAAGTGCTTGGCAGATTCCATTTCTCCCACTCTGCCTTTGAGGACAGACTGCCACCAGCTAACACTGATCACCTGATCAGCCCGTTCGCAGCTGGCCAGCACTTGGACCTTTGCCTTATTCTGTAACATGCTTCTTGGCCATAGTCCCACCAGGATGTGACCTCGCTAAGTTTAACGTGTTAATCAATCCCAACTTGAGCATGTTTGCAACCCAAAGTTAACAATACAGAATAGTGTCTAAGGGAAGTAATTCCTTTACTAGTATTTATTTGTTCACTTCACTGTAAATCTCTGAGTATGCAAATTCTACTTAACACTTTAAAAGCAGCACCATCTGCTGGACTCTGTTTCAGAAACAAAATGTGTTGGGGCTGGCAAGTAGCGTGGTGGTTAAGGGTGCCGGACTTCCACATAGCTGACCATGGTTTGAGTCCCAGAACTGGTGGCTTGCTTTCTCGCTTTCCCTCTCTCTCTCTCTGTCCCTCTCTGGTCAAATTAAAATAAGAAGATAAATAAAGTTAAATGTCTCTTTAAAAAAAAAAAGAAAAGAAACAAAATGTGTTCAACCCCAACGCTTACTTTTTTTTTCCTTGTACATCCTTTAGGGGAGAGAGACGGTATGTAGACCAGATATACACAACTCACTTTCCTTACAACACCTTCACATAATATTACCAAAATAAGTACATAAGGAGTACAATGTCCATGAAAGTTATTTTTTTTTACTTTTTTTTATGCTCTAAGATACAAGTCTGAAGTTTTTTTTAAAATAATTATTTTATTTAACTTTATTTAATTATTTATTTTAATTTGACCAGAGAAGGACAGAGTGAGAGAGAGAAAGAGAAAGCAAGCCACCAGGTCCAGGACTTGAACCACAGTCAGCCTCATGGGAGTCCGGCATCCTTAACCACCATGCCACCTGCTGGCCCCAGGTCTGAAGTTTTATTGAAGATAAAGTATAAATCATAATGTGCCTTAGAAATGACATTCTGAGCAGGACAAGGGTCCCTTGGGTTTATGAACTCATTGGTGTTTGAGGTTTGAGCGATCAAGATTCAAAATTCAGGGCCAGCAGGTGGTATGGTGAAGCGGGGCTCCTCACATAACCAACCCCAGAGGGTGGTTTCTCACTTTCCCTCTCTGGCGAGTGTACACCCTTATGGAAAAAACCCAACCAGAAAAAAAGGAAAGAAAAATTCTAAAATTCAGTCGGCACAGACTTGTGTAGGTCCGGTATGTCACCTGTGGTAACGTGCACAGGAATGGGGACAGGCATTTTAAAGCCACAATATTTAAATCATCCTTTGTAATCTGCGGAAGAAATAACGGGCTCAAAAACTGGACTTTTTTGCTTGAGATGGATAGAAGCCAAAAGGAGCTAAAGGAGCTAGTTCACACTTAAGGCCTGTTCTCTTTGGCAAGCCAAATGAAGAGACCTGAGTTTTGAATGCTTCTGATAGAGGACCACAGCTTCTTCAATGCTGCGTGTGCCCTGGATGTGTTAATAATTCTCGTTATGTCCGATTCGTAGATCAGTGTGAAGACCCAGGTATCCTCAAGCGGTTCGTTGCTTCTTACCAGATCTCTTCTTTACCCTCTTCGTGCTGTCGGCATCAGCTGCTTTCACCTTTCTAGGTAAGGAGTCCTTCCGTTCAGCACCGTGGACTTTGACTTAGAAACTGCCTTCGTTTTATTTCACAAATTGCCCCAGGTGAACTCTAAGCGTTCCACTTTCTGGCTGCCCCTGAGTACTTGAGGCAGGAACTTCCTAGCAGTTAAACAAGACGATAACCAGGACATATCCGAAATGTGCTTATTGGGATGGTTTCCCACTCCTCTCGAGTCAGGATGCGTTTAGTGCTGCTTCCTCCTGCAGGAACATCCTTCTGTCAGCCTCGCTTTTCCTCCTGTAGGCTGGCAGAGGACGCGGAGCAGCCAACGCACACAACTACCGTCTGTGCCGGGCTGAAGACGGAGGTGATTGTATAGCGTCCTGGGCACTTCACAGCCATGAAGGAGAATTCGGGCTCTGCACCAGGTGCTTCTTGTGTTTCCTCTTCCCCTCTTCTGGAGAGGGATGAAGGAGGTCCTTTGTAAGAGGCATGTTCTCGTGGTGAGGTTGTCATCTCCGGAAAGCATTATTTATTTTTTTTTTTTTAATTTTAATAGAAAGGGACCAGCAGATGGCGTAATGGTTGCATCACTAGACTCCCACATAGTTGACCATGGTTCCAGTCTCAGACCTGTTGACTTAAAACTCACGCCAGGTGCGTGTGTGTTCCTGCAAGAAGACTGGAGAAGGGAGTGTGGCATGACCAATCCCCCTGGGGGGTGATTTCTCACTTTCTGTCTCTCTGTCTCTCTCTCTCTCTCAGGTGAGTGCATGAATCCTATAGCAAAAATCTCTCTTAAAAAAAAGTTGGGGACTAGCAGATGGCATAATGGTCATGGAGCTGGACTCCCACATAGTCAACGATGGTTTAAGTCCTTGAAACTCCCGGCAGGCAAATGTGCATGTGTACCCAAAATCCCAAGAGGAGACTGGAGGAGAAGGGATTGCAGCGTGGCTGTCCTCTGTGGGGAGTGATTTATCTCTCCTTCTGTCACTTTCTCTTTCTCCAGCAAGTGCACACACCTTATAATAAAACCTCTCAACAAAACAAAACTTTTTAAAAATAGAAAGCAACTCCCTAATGGGGTGTGCTCACACTGCAATTCTTTTTTCTGCGTTATCCATCCCATCAGGATTTTGAGCATTTGTGTATATGCAACCAGCATGGTTCTGAAGCCACTGATGGCTGGGATTCAAATAGCGGTCGAACATGCGGGCTCTAGCTCCCCACGCACAGCACTTAACTGCTGCACTAGGGGGCCAGGCCATGAAAGTTACGTTATTTATTCGCCACTAGATTGTCTATACATTATACCATTTTACAACATAGACATTACATTAAAATATGACTCCAGGTCTTGATTTTTCTGTTTTTTTGCGTTTAACTTTTTTCCTTTTTTAGAATTATTTTATTTAACTTTATTTATTTATTTATTTTTAATTTGACCAGAGAGGGAGGGAGGGAGCGAGAGAAAGTGAAAAAGCGAACTGCCAGGACTCAAACCACGGTTGGCCATGTGGGAGTCCAGTACCCTTAACCACCGTGCCATCAGCTGGCCTCTTTTTGCATTTAACTTTTAACCAAATAATTTGCACAAGTGTGGTGTTTGGTTAAGGTAACCACAGTTTGTAAAAGTGACACACATGATGGCTAAAACTTGAGTATAGAGTTCAGTCTCATTTAGGCACTGGATATCACCTGCCAACGACGTAGTGAAGCCCATTAACAATTCTTGTCTGAGGGACCAGCAGTTAGCATAATGGCTATGTTGCTGGACTCCCACGTAGTCGACAGCAGTTTGAGTCCCAGACCCGGTGGCTTAAACTCACGCCGGGTGCGTGTGCATGCGTGCCCAAGATACCGAGAGGAGAATGGAAGAGAAGGGATTGCGGTGTGGCCATCCCCCCGGGGGGTGATTTCTCGCTTTCTATCTCTCTGTCTCTCTCTTTCTTTCTGGTGAGCGCATGCGCCCTATAGCAAAAACCGCTCCAAAAACAGAAAAGAAAAAAAAAAAATTCTTGTGTGAGATGCAAATCAAAACCTCAATGAACCTCCATTTTATACCTTCCAGATTGGCAACAACAACAACAACAACAACAAAGTCAGACAATATCAAAGACGGGGTAGGATTTGGAACAACAGGAACATTTATTCACAGTGCATAGTATAAATCACTGCAACCACTTGGGAGAACAATCTGGCATTATCTTACAGCTGATATGCCTTCAGTAAAATAGTTCAGAGGTCTTCGATCTAACTCTTTCCTAGGTGTACTACCTGAAGAAACTTTTGCGCAAGTGTGCCAAGAAGCAAGTTCCGTGGTGTTCATCGCAGGCCTACTTAGGAATAGAAGACAGAACTAACCCAAGTGTCCGCGGCACATACACGCGTGAGTTGTAATCAAACCATAGTGCTGAATTTAAAAATGAAGAGAAAGTTGGTGACTCGAACAATCAAATTGAGTTTGCTCTTATATGAGGGCAATATATGAAGAGTTTAGTGATTTGGGCTCAAATTAAAAACATCGGTGTGAAGACGTTGCATGGATAAATCTCACAAACATCATCTTGAAAGAAATAAGCACATCACAGAGCAAGTGCCATGGAGGTTAAGGCAGCTGGATCCCACACAGGTGACTTTGGGGTTCAAGCCTTGGTGGCTTGAAAAATACGCTGGATGCATGTGCATACATGCCCCGAATCTTGAGAGGAGAAGGGAAGAGAAGGGATTGTGATGTGGCCATTCCCCTGTGGGATGTTTTCTCACTTTCCCTCTTTCTCTGTCTCTCTAGCAAGTACACATGTCCTATAGCAAACTAAAAAAATAAAAAATAAAATATTAGGTTGTCAGGAAAGTCATAATGTTTTTTCTATGCAAAAATATGTTGTGACTTTTCTGACAATCCAATAGAAAGAAGCAAATCATCGAGAAAAATATATATTATAGCAAATCACAGAGAAAAAATATATATGACATTATTCCATTTATATAATGTCAAAGGCAAGGGAAAAAAATCAAACGATATCTTGTGTGGGGATACAAACATCTATGATGAAACAATGAAGACAAAGTGAAAAATGATCGTGAAGTTAAGCATGATATTGACCTCCGGAGGGGAAGGAAGGGAGTGACATTAGAGTCTTTGAATGTCATTGTCAGCGCAGTTGGTGGTGCAGCAGTAACACAACTGGACCCCAGGGCCCCCCTGAGCTTGCCAGGCATATACACCTGTGCCTGTGATCCAGGCCAGCTGGACCTAGGCTGGGGATGGGTCACCGCATGGAGAGCCTGTCGGGGATGCTTGTCACTCTGTCTCTCTCACATCAGAGAAATCCACCTCTTTTTTTTTTTTTCCAAATTAAAAAAGCAAGTTGGGACCAGAAGATGGCAAAATTGTTACATTGCTGGACTCCCACATAGTCGACCATGGTTCAAGTCCCAGACTTGGCCGCTTAAAACTCACACCAGGTGCATGTGTATGTGTGCCGAAAATCCCAAGAGGAGAGAAGGGATTGTGGCGTTGCCATCCCCCTAGGGAGTGATTTCTGTCTCTCTGTCTCTCTCTGTCTCTGGTAAGCACACATGCCCTATAGAAAAAAATCTCTCTTAAAAAAAGAGGAACTACAGATGGTGTAATAGTTACATTACTAGACTCCCACATAGTCAACCATGGTTCAAGTCCCAGGCCCAGTGACTTAAAACTCACACTGGGTGCATGTGCATGTGTGCCCCAAATCCCAAGAGTAGACTGAAGAAGAAGGGATTGTAGTGTGGCCATCCCCCCATTCCCCAGGGGATGATTTCTCGCTTTCTGTTCTCTCTGTCTTTCTCTGTCTCTCAGTGAGCACACGCGCCCTATAGCAAAAATCGCTCTATAAAAAAAAGAAAGTCATTGTCATCTCTTGTTTTACACAGGGTGGTACAATCATATATATTAATTTTATCACTCTTGTTTATATCTTACATATATATATATATGTGTGTGTATATATATATATATATATGTGTGTGTGTGTTTGGAGAGATTTTCACTGTAGGGCGCGTGCGCTCGCCAGACAGACAGAGAGAGACATAGAGACAGAAAGCGAGAAATCACCCCCCAGGGGGGATGGTCACGCCGCAATCCCTTCTCCTCCATTCTCCTCTCGGGATCTTGGGCACGCACGCACACGCGCCCGGCGTGAGTTTTAAGCCACCGGGTCCGGGACACGAACCGCGGTCGACTACATGGGAGTCCAGCGACATAGCCATTACGCTAACTGCTGGTTCCCATCTTACATATATTTTATAAATATCATTTTTTATCCATTTTATATTTAATTTAAAAACTTTTAAAAACCTATAGAACTGAATGCATTACTACCACCTGTTAGCACATTTTACATTATCATCATCATTGTGGTGATATCATAATGTCAAGATTTTTCTACAGCTTGTTTGTATTGTTGGTAATTATCTCTTTTTAGACTCAACTTGTCACTGCTCAGTATAGTGGTTTTTATTATCTGCTCAGAACCTGCAGTAAGCAACCTATAAAGTGGTCCCCATTTCCAGGTCTTCAGGCCCCCAGATAATCCTTTTCCTTGAATGTGGGTGGGAGGGGGCACCTCACTTCTAACAAACAGGATATGGCAAAAGTGGAACAATGTTGCCTCAGAGATTAGGTTACGAGAGACCGGAGCTTCTAACTTGGGTGTCCTCTCTCATTCTTCCGCACCTGCTCTGAGCAAAGCCAGCTGCCATGTTGCCTTCCTATGGGAAGGCCTCCACGTTAAGGAACAAATGTCTGACTTTTACAGACTGTGTCTCACCAAAATTCACACGTGGAAGTCCTAATCTCCACCATGATGATATTTAGAGATGCCACCTTCGGGAGATAATTGGGTTTAGATGCTGTCTTGATGGGAGGCTCCTATGATGGGATTAGTGTCCTAAATAGAAGAGGAATAGAGACCAGCGCTCTGGTCTGGTGCTGGGGCTGTGTACTTATGTCATTTACTAATTTAATTATGAGTTGTCGGGAAAGTCATGATGAATTTTTGCATAGAAAAAATACGTCATGACTTTTCCAACAACCCATTTATTTCATATCTCTTGTAGTAGCAGGCTGGGTGATCCCATAGCAATTTAGGCATTGCAGTATCTAAGAGGGAGTCTTTGTCTTTCAAAGTCATTAGTGCATGCCAGTGTTTTCAATGTCACGCAGTCTTCATTAAGCTCTCTTCAATCTTGCTCTGTATTAACAGCATTTTAATTTCTAGTTACCTCTCTTCTTTGCGTATACTAGTCTTTGTATCACTTTCATGCAGTGTGTCCAAGTCAGATTCCAGTTATCATTTTAGATATTTTCACACCCAATTACATGTTCAGTTACAGCTGCCTAGATTTAAGAATATCAACATTCAAGTCACTCTAGTAGTATTTTTTGAGCCATCGAGTTTGCATGTCTAAGGCTTTAGAATTTAACTTTTCTATTTTACTTAATTTTACCAGTAACAGTCCATATCACATGGATTCATGGCAACTTGTAACAGTGTCAAAAAGGAAACTAAATCTTGGGTAAACATTTTTTTTTCATGGGTTTTTTTATTGTATCCAAGCAATCATACAGGAGTATCTGTAGTGTATCTACATTAGGACTCTACAACTAAAATTTCAGTACATTCACACAGAACCATCTCGCACACAGTACATCGAATAATAATAATACCATTATACAAAACAGCAGTGAGTCGCTTTACAGAATTTATGCTTGCATGTGTGATCATCGATATTCTTGGAAGAATATTACAATGTTTGTACTTCCATGTTATATACCCTTATCTCTAAGAGGAGGTTCCTATAACTGGCCCTTGAGCTTTCATTTGTATTCTATTACTAGGTGGTTGGATCGCATCCAGAAACTTCTTGTATTCTTCTCTTCGTATGCATACTGTTAGTAGCACATTAGCTCTTGGCAGTTCTAACTAATGACATGTGATTATAACTAATTGCACACCTATCTACAGGCAAACTTTAAACTATTGGGTCAGCAGAAAAGTCACGCATAGACATTTTTGCATAGACAAATACATCATGACTTTTCCGATGATCCATCAGTTAAATACGGCCAGTCTATGACTCAAAGGGTACAGGTGTAAACAATTTTTAGTTTTTAGGGTTTTTTTTTCAGTGTGCTATAGGGCAGGCGTGCTCACTGGAGAGAGAGAGAGAGATGGGTGAGTGCAGTGAGAAATCTCTCCCAGCGGGGATGACCACACTGCAGTCCCGTCTCCATTCATCGCTCAGGATCTTGGGCATACATGCACGTGTATCTGGAGTATTATTCAAGTCGCAGGGTCTGAGACTGGAACCACACACTTGGTTACATGGGATTCAGCTGCCTTGACCACCATGCCACCTGGCTGACCTAGTTTCTTTGTTTGTTTGACTGTTTTAAAGTTAGTAATTTTGAAAAATATCAGTAATCTTGACTGCAGAATCCTATCCTTTTGGCTTTAATTGTGTATATTTTTTTATTCAGATAAGATTTACATAACATTGAATTCACCATTTTTAAAGTTTTTTAAAATTTGATTTGATTTATTATTTTTTAAATTTTGCTATAGGCACGTGCACTCACCAGAGGGAGAGAGAGTGAGAAAGTGAGAAAGCAACCACCAGGTCTGGGACTTGAACCGCAGTCAGCTCTATGGAAATCCAGTGCCTTAACCACTATGCCACCTGCTGGCCCTAAATTTACCATTATAACCACTGTAAATTTACCGTTTTAAAAACTGGTTGCCATTATAACCACTGTACCTTTCAGTACTTTAGGATACTGTACTGCCTTTCTCTTTCTGCTCTGATCTTTATTATTTCCTTCCTTTTTATTTTTTTAAGAGAGAGAGTTTTGCTATAGGATGCGTGTGCTCACCAGAGAGACAGAGAGACAAAAAGCAAGAAATCATTCTCCAGGGGTATGGCCATGCTGCAATCCCTTCTCCTCCATTCTCCTCTCGGGATTTTGGGCACACACACACACACATATGCCCGGCGTGAGTTTTAAGTCACTGGGTCCAGGGCTCGAACCTCAATTGATGACATGGGAGTCCAGTGATGTAACCATTACAACATTTGCTGGTCCTCCTTGTACTATTTTTGGTTTGGTTTGTCTGCTTTACGTGCTCCTTGAGGTGCACTGTTAGGTTATTTATTTGAAATCTTTCTGCTTTTTTGAAAAGGCATTTATTGCTATGAACTTCCCTTTCAGTACTGCTTTCATTGTATCCCATAGGTTTTAGTACTTTGTGTTTTCATTTTCATTTGTTTCAAGAAATTTTTAATTTTTTAAAAAAATTTTCCAGGGGACCAGCAGATGGCATGGTGGTTAAGGCGCTGGAATTCCCACATGACCGACTATGGTTCGAGTTCCATAACTGGTGGCGTTCTCTCGCCTCTCCTCCCTCTCTCTCTCCCTTTCTTTCTCTCTTTCACTAAACTCATGTGAAAAAAATAATTAATTAATTAATTTAAAAAAAATTCCAGTGGGCATGTTTGTTCTGTGAGAAAGAGAGCAATAGAGGAAAATCAAGAAAGCACCTGGGGCCAGCAGATGGTATGGTGGTTAAGG